TATTTTATAAATTTATAATATTATAATTATAATATTTTTTATTTTATATTTAAGTTTTTAATTTTATAATAAAAAATTGTTATAAATTGAAAACCATTATATAGAGAACACAGCTCCCATGCATATTTAATTAAAAAAGCTCGTTACTTATTTAATAACTTAAATTACACAATCTATTCAAATTTTAATTGCATAGTATGCTGAATATATTTTTTAAAAGGTTGAAATTCTATTTTTTTTAATAATAAAACTCAATAAAAGCTCTAGAATTTAATTTCTAATCTCTCAGCGTACAAATAAAACTCAGTATCATCCCTTTCCAATTCTAGCTCTGTGTTGAAAGGAAGAAAAGGGGAGAGGAGAACCTGAAGATAACAGCAAGCAAGAAAGTGAAAGCTGGGATCGAGTTAAGTATTGCTGAAACAAGGGTAGGGGAACTTTATCTTACACCAGTTGACATACAGTTCTGCGTTACAATAATCCTTCAAAATCCAGATGCACTATCAAATTTCAGCATTCAAGGAACCAAACCCACTTCTTAAAATCAACAAAAGTAACTTCCTTTAGACACAATTTCTCACCCCACAAAGCTAAGGAGGAAAATTTTGCAGAGCACAGAGAAATTGATTGGAGGCCTCTTTGTCCTGCATACATAAGTAGAACCATTTAGCACTGCAAAAACTAAAAACTGAATAATAAATACATTGAGATAAACTGGATCTTGTTGATGTGGGAAAGACCAATTTAGGAAGAATGCAATGGGGAGGAGGATAAGAGAGCCCAAAGCGTTTCCGTAAACAACCAAGACAAAGGAACTCGTCCCCTTTGACGTGGCGGCTTTGTTGAGAGTGTTCAAGCCAACTCCAGACACTCCAACGACACCATCGCTGCAAATGGCGCCAATCCCATCAAGAACGACTTCATCCCCATCTTTCTTTCACTCACTCAGCCTTCCTCGGATTTCGGGAATTATTGAAGATGCTTTTCAGATTCAATTTCTGTTGGTGGGAATTACAGAAAAGTCAATAACAAGAGATTCCGTAAGATTTGCCAGCTTCAGCTAACTCTGTTAGTTGTCGCAGGGAAATGCATTGTGATTTAATTGAAATAGTAACATTTAATAAGCAAAACTGTTCCTTAAGCCCCTAAACTTACCTTAAATTTTTTATTAAACTCCTAACGTTTTATTGATGCAAATAAGCCTTAAACTTAGTAATCTAGACAATTTAACTCTCTTTTTTATAGCAAACTTATCACTTGTTTATATCTCGCTTGTGTGGAGAAGGTATTAACATGTCATTGATTGCATGGTGGTATTAATCTTATTTACGCAAATAAGGTATAAACAAGTATTAAGTTTATTGTAAAGAATATGGTTAAATTACCCGAAGAACTAAGTTCAAGGATTTATTTACTTTAATAAAAATTTAGACATTTAAAAAAATTTGAAATAAGTTTGAGAGCTTAATGTAGAATTTTGCATATTTAATAGTTAGTGAGTATTACAATTAAAATTAAACAGATATAGTATGATGTCATGTGGGCCAAGCTTATATGCTTATATTATTTAAAGAAAATTCATAATTCAAATAATTACAAAGTAGGGAGGCAAGACTATAAGGTATGAAGTCGCAAAGAATATTGCTAGATCCAAGTAAAGAGGCAGTTGAATAAAACTTTTTAGTTAATATCAATGCCAACTATCTCACCTCACTCCCAATAAGGTATAGAGTAGGCAATAAGATAAAACTCTTACTAAAAAACCCAGCTATCCTTCCTCCTTATGGGCATTAATTAGCTTATTAAACCATATTTAAAACTTTAGTAGCTATGATGGGAATGAACCTCCAACCCAACACCCAACATAAAAGTTAGCAATGTTGAATAATTTTCAGTTTGGATTGACATTTTAGTTTACCGGTCCGGATTGAAAGAAAGAAAAAAAAATTCAGGAAAATAAAACAGTTTGCAACTTTTCCCTCAAATGATGGCCAACAACTTTAATTGGACTTAATTGCACATTGATGACAAGTTCAAGGGTTAGTTGATGCATTTATTTCAGAAAATAACGGGTCTGTAATATTGGGTCGGAGCTCCAACAGGCTGGTGGGCTCACCAGCGGAACACTACAGGTTCGAGGCTGGAGCTAGGAAGACACCGGATCCCAATTTGACGACTTCTTTCTGGTTTCGAGTCCATTTTCTCTGCTCGTGGAAAATTTAGCTTAGAAGAAGGAGATGGGTACGGTGGAACCCAGTTTGGAAGAATTGTTGGAGCAGAAGAAGCGAATTAGGAGCCCTCTTTTTCCAGTCGGTAATTCCCCTTGCAAATTTTCATTATTTTTTAAGTTTAATCTGTTCGGACTCTGGTTTTGAATCTTTTGGTACGTGTTCTTGGCCAATTTTAAGGAAATGAATGAGATTGAAATGTGTTTGTTGCAAGTTGAAAACTTTTGGTTCGGTTTTAGGGAATTTGAAATTTGGTACCGCAGATCCATTTTCAGGAGAAAAGCCCTTCTTTTGGAATAATTTTGTTATTATTATTATTATTATTATTGATAAAGTGATCTCCTTGGATAGTTGATTTGGGGAATTGATTGTTAGCTTTGACAAGGAATTGTATAACTCCAGCCAGAAGAGGTTTCAGACAACTTTTATAAATTTAAATGGCGACTGAGGTTGCTTCACTTTTTTCTGCATTGTCTCTGTGAGACTGTGACTATGATTTTTAGTTATTCTTAGATCAAATAGAGGCAAAGTGTTAGATGGGTACTTGCAGTTTAGATGTAAGTGGGAGCTGAACTCTTGCTTTCAGCAAAAGCTTTAGAAGAAATAGTTTGACCCTTCTTATGATGGCTAGAAAATTGTGTTATTTTATGTCAAGTTGTGTTTATAATTAGCTAATCTTGGTTGATTCATTCTGTGTTTGTATGGATGATGATCAGTCGAGCATTTGGAAAATAAGTTGTCATTTTTTTTTTTTTTTTTGTTATTATTATCATTATACTTTTGGTTGGTTTATTGTGTGCAGGAGGGTTAATGCATCAAACTTTGGTAGGATTATCAGTTCTTCAATCTTGATAGTAATGGCTCAAAGCAGCAGTAGGCAATTCTTTTTTCAATAGTGGGCATAAATTTCTTGATGGTAAATTTTTGAAGATATTGGAGGGAGAGGCGTAATGCTTAATTAATTCTCTGTAATTTCCTGGGCCGGTAGATTTCTTGCCTCCTTTCGGCATTTTAAATTGCTATTGTGTTTAAATTGCTATTGTGTTTAAATTGCTATGAAAAATCTCTAAACCAGCAGCAAGTATATTGTAATATCCACAACCCCTTTCTTTTCGTTCTTAAAAACTAGTGGTTTAATTATTATGGTTCAGTTTGTTTGACGTTTGTGAGTTCAACAGGTGCTCTTATGACTGCAGGGGTGCTTAGTGCTGGATTAATCAGTTTTAGGTGAGGCAATTCCCATTTGGGTCAGATGTTAATGAGAGCTAAGATTGGTTGTTCAGGCGGCTACAGTGCATTTATGGTTGGCACAGCATGCTACTACAGTGGAAATCCCTGGAAATCGGGTTAGATTCTATAACTTGCTTCCAGTTTTTCAAAGTTTGATGTAATTCTTACCTGAAAAGCATACCACATATTGATATAGGGGAACAATATTCCTCGTTGGAAAACTTTTTTCCTGCAACCAAACAAATTTTTAGATTAATTTTTGTGCACACTCTCTACAATCAAACAGATTTTCATATCTTATTTTTCTTGCACTTCCTTTGCAACCAAACAAAGAATGAAAATCAAAATGAAAATGAAAGTTGAAATAGATGAAATCTGGAAAGAAAAAAGTGACAAAACCAGATATTTTCACACACAAAAAAAAAAAAAGTTCATAACATAAATGCAGACATTAAAAATTACATAAAAATACAAATAAATTAACGCCATAAAAGACTTCTAACAAGATTCTTCTAATGCGGTCCATTGGCCATATCTTACGAGATTATTGATCCAAAGTTCCGTCTATAAACATCAACAGCAAGGGGGAGCATCCGCCAGTAGAGCAAAAAGGGGATGGGAAGTCCTAGGTATCCTATAATAACTGGTAGTCCCTGCAACTTTTTTGGCAACATGATCGTAAGAGCAAAACCGAAGGCAAAGAGCATCGTTACTATTGAAATTATGAGTAATAAAATAGTGATCATCAATCGCGTGGGCAAGTTTTGGGGAAGATCAACTGGACCATAGGATCCTGTGAGTATACTCAGAAATAGCAGCATTGAAGTTGATGCAGTAAGGAGGGACACCACATCACATATGAGAAACCCGGAAAACAGTTTGCTATGCAACAATATGGGGATACCGGTTTCTTCATTGTTCCCGCCTGGAACTGTAAAAAGTGCCGCAAACATAATGGTGACAAGTAAAACAGGTACCAGAATATAAGAATTTGCAGTATTCTTTGCCCATTCATGCGCTTCTTTTCTCCATTGCTGGTGTTCTCCGTCGAAAACTTGGGTTGGAGTTTGACCATAATGATTTTTGGCTCCTTGATACCAGCGTGGAAGGAGGCTTCTAACTTCCTGTCAATTCATAGCAGTATTAGCCTTAAATACCCTTGTTAAATAAGATTTTGAATTGAAAACAACAATTCTCAAAATTAAATGAATTCACATAAGAATATTAGTAACGCAATAGTTATAACAATACATTTATGTTCCAAAATTATAATACTACCTGATTTTATTACTATATTATTTTTTAAAATATAAAGTGGCAAGTAGAAAAAAGTGAAAAAACTCCCGAAAAAGAAAAGTTCAACCAAGAGGTTTCATTATATGATTCCGATAATATTTGCCTGCCATTTTATAGTTTCAACAATCAGAAAGAAAACTTTTTTTTTTTTTTCTAATTAACCTTCAATAAAATAAAATAATGGATGAAAATATAGCATATTTTCAACGTTAATTTGAGAAAAGAAATATGAAGTTAATTAGAGTTAACTGATCACCTCGAACCACTTTACTTCTCGTTGCATAACCCAAACAGGAAAGAGATTAACATCAATCCCAAGGTCTGGTAACTTGGCTACTAGATGCAACACGTTGTTTCCATCTTCATCTGTTAAAGAGAGAAATGTTTTCTTCCCTGCATCAAGCCTCAAAACAAACCCTAAAATACCTCCTCGACGATATTTGATTGCAGAGATGAGTATTTCTCTTGAAAGGTTTTTATTGCACCAAATTAGATGTGGGTTCGATTTGAGGATCTCAATCACAATTTTGACTCTGCCATTCTTGATTGCTTGGAAGATTGCTGAGATTGTTCCCCTTCCAACAAGTTGTGTGGCATCCCTGTAGGTTGATATTTCCTTGCACCAGTATTGCAAAACCGAATTGGCAAACGTATGGGTTAACTTCAGATTATATAAGTCCATAGGTGCTCCTACATTAAGTCGAGACAAAGAATCGTGAAGAAAAAGAAAAATTACTTGAAGAAATTCTAAAGAATAACAAAGAAAAAGGTATAGTTGAGTGGGCTTCATATACTTCCAAAAATGATGGGTAATATTGCTCCCATCACTTTAATCCATGCTGCTGCAATATCAAAATAGACAAACCCCATTCATATACTGGCTTGATATTTATTTTATTGTATGTCATTTGATTCAATATATAGGTAACAGAAGTATACCTTGTATTCCGAAGATTTTTTGTCTGCTTCTGTCCGTATCCTCAGAGGGAGATGGCACTTTAGCAATACAACCACCTTCAATAACAATGAAGGAAATAAATATTATTTAAGTAAAAAATGGAGAAAAAGCAGAAAGGAACTTTTAATTCTTTTCTTATATTTATTGTACATTTAGGGTGTAATTACCTAAATGTACTATGTTTTAATTTATACCAATAAGAGATTAGCTAAATTGGTATCTATAAATTTGAAAACCTTAATTTG